TTAAACTGTGTTCACTTGTGAGCAGTGTTTTACCAGGGCTGCCACCTGTCTGACGTCTGTAACACAAACAGGGACATTGTAAGATGATACTGTTACCTTAGTGTAGAGTCACTAAGCAGAAATGGAACCCCTTATTTTACCTGGATGTTTTTGTCTTTCATTTTTCATTTCTAGTACATAGGACAACCTTCCTTCTTTATATTTGATTATTATTATCCTTAATATTTATGATTTTACATTTTAGCTTCTCCATATGTCAGCCAAAGATCACATGATTCATTGAAAGTCTACAACAGCATTGTCACTGATGATTCTAGACTTTGCCTCCTCTTGGATGGTGGCATACCATTTCCTCACAACACTGGCAGAAGGTAGTGTGTGCATTGCTAGGGGAGGACACCCTGTCTTAACAGTATAGTAGATATCCTAGGTTCTTTCACAAAGGAGCAAGTTATAATTGACCCAATGGAAAAAGACTCTTGAAGTAGTCTAGGCAAAGGAGACTTACGACCTTAGTTGCCCTATATAGAATATAATTATAATCCATACTGTTTTCTATTTCCTGCTGAAAGTTAAGGCCAAGGGTTGGTGGGTGTATTGTCTTAGGTTCACCTGGGATGGGATAGAACATGTGGAGACTGCTACTATGCGCAGGTTGAAGGGCAAGTATTCCAGTCTAGGCTGTATGCTGGGCTGCCGGGCCTTTGCCCATGAGGTTTACTAGATAGCCAACATACCTTAGGAAATTGAGCATCATGATGAATAGTTATTTACCCATCTGGCGCTTTTCTTAATAGCATAGAGCACTGAGGCCATGCCTCATAACATCCTACTGAAGAAAGGAAGTGGCAGATAGTGTTAAACGTTACTGGTTAATCATGGGGAAACTGAAGCATGGATAGGTTTATGGGGCTTGAGCAGAGTTACACAATGCCTTAGTGTCTGGCCTGGGAATGAAGCCCGAGTTTGCTGCTTGCTGTCAGGACTGCCGACAGCATTGTGTTTCACATTGTACAGCAGTGAAAAGGGCTTACTCTTCACAATGCAAGAGCTTCTGTAGGAGACAAACACAATGAACTTTAGTACAGTATAGTCTAGAGGCCAAAATGAGTAATTTTAAGTAAATTGACTATAAGATCTAAAGCTTCATTAAGTTTTAAAAACACAAAAGGCAAATGAAAACTTTGTACAGTGTTAGGAACTGACTAAAAAAACCATGAATAGTCTTCCCCCATTTGAAGTGGCACACTCTTGAAAGTTTTATTTTGTTGACTCACAAGCTTGCACTTTTCCTGTTAACCATTTCAGATCCACATCCAGTGTTCTGTGATCTATTTAAAAGATTCTGCCTTGCTCTCCTTGTCAGTTTAGCATTTGTTTTCCAAAATGCCTTTATGCCATAGCTCGAATTTTGGGGAAGACTTTTATTTTGTTCTGATTTCATTTGGGTTCCCCCAGAACAGATGGAACTGTAGAGCCTGGATTTTTAGGAAGCATTAGGGGTGTGCAAAGGGGAGTTGGGAGAATCGACATGTTGTGTGTGGTTGGAACCATAAGGGAATGATGGCATCACTGGGGCAAGTGTGCAAACAAAGGTCTGATGTCAGAAGTGACTTAGGGGACCTGGGATATAAGCTAACAGGTATAGATATTAAAAAGCTTAGTGTCTGAATTACTTTTTCATTGTTGGGACAAACTACCTGGCATACACAAGTCAAAGGCGAAAAGGTTTATTTTAGTTCACAGTTCGTAGAAGTTTCAATCTGTAGTCAGCTCATACCAAGGCAGGGCTTCTTGGCAGAGGGACATGGTAGACAAGAAACAGTTCATGATGTAGTAGGTAGGAGGCAGCAGCTTCCTTTAGCATTGTTTATTTCATCTCAGCTACAAACCTGTTGGATGGTGTCTGGATCCCAGGGTGGGGCTTTCCGCTGTCTGCAACCAGAACTATATGCTAAACCAACCAATGGACTGATCCAGTTATCACACCCTTAATCCAGGATCACACAGCCATGGTTCAGTCACTCCCAAAAGCCCCACCTATGAGCATAGAGGTTTTATGAGGTACAAGCAATAACAAAAGCAAAGTCTTTACACTGCATTATAAAGAGAGCATGAAGATGAAATTGTGGCACTTTTGGCCAAAGTATGTTCCTGATACATGAGTAGTTTAAACAGTCATATAATGTCATTTTGTACTTAAGAATTTTAATAGTTTGGGCCAGGATAGTTGGATCTGTCCCCCTTCAGGAGACAGTCTAGTAAATTCTGGCAGGGAAGCTGAGTAAAAATGGGGGATCTCAGGACAGGAATAAGGTCCTTTTTCAGTTACCTTGGGGATGGGGTGGGGGATAGCTGAGTAAGAAGAACTGTGTGTTGCCTGTTTTAGTTGAATACGGAAGACCTCTCTTAAATGTGAAGAGCTGCTATCCATCGGCCATCTTCATGGGGATATATGTGTACCTACATAAATCTGTCTCTGAAAAAACTCTTTGTAATGAGTCTGGGAGACTTATTTTCACAGATAACAAATATTTGTGAAAAGTTTGATAATATCAGCTATCCCTCACATGAGTTTGAGATGGATATGTTGGATCTAGGAGGCTGTTTACAGTTAATCATGTAGGAGAAGGCATAATGGAACTAAATCATGGCCAGTGGAAAGTGACCAATATGAACGAATAGGAGGAGTTGATATATGAATGCAGACTGAATAATGAGGACTCCTTAGGCTCGAGAAGACTGAGAGCAAATGCAGTGGGAGTAGTAGTTCTATATGAATCATAGAATTTTTTTTTGCCTAATTTAGCAGAACTTTGGGGAAACTGAGGAAAAGTGAATTTAGGACAACAAAAGCTCTAAACTACCAAAATATACCTATATATCAAAACCTCTCTTTTGGGAATTAGGCCTCTGGCATTGATGTGAAGTGAAAAAGAGAAGGTTCCTCTGACTTTTATGCTGTTTTCTTGTAGCATGGGTGGCCAGAGAGTGTAGATTAAGCTTCCTGTTAACTTTTATATTTTCTTTTCTTAGGTCATACTTATGTCATTCAAGCTTAACATTGACTGGTAAAACAATCAGGGTCAGAGCAGACTGCCCTCAAGAAGGGGTGGTTAGACAAAAACTTGCAAATTGAGGATGAACTGGCTAAACCAGGAGATGAAGGAAGAGGGAATAGCATAGGAAAGTGTCTCAAGGAATAGCTAGCCAGCCAAACTGAGGGACAGTGGTGGGTCAGAGGCTGCTGGCCAGGAGCTGGTCCAAGAGACAGAGCAGGGAGAAGTAACTGAAGTGATTGAAACAGATAAAAATCAGACTTCCTCTTAATAATCAATCATGGTGACTGCTATGTAGAAAATAGGACAGAAAAATTTGTAGGGACGTGTAGGAGAACATTGATGTTGTCTAGATAATGATAGCCTGGGCTGGAGAGAACCAAGGTAGATTCTAAGAGCTATTTCAGAGGTTGTATAGATCAGCTTTGTTGACTGGACATGAAAAATAACTTAATTTATTGGAGTGTGACAGCCTGTCATGACTCAGCTTTTATCTGAGTAAGAAAAATCAACACAATCCTTTTGTAGGTTTCTTCTGTCATGATTTCCAGATGACCCAGAAGTGAGTAGGCCTGCCTTCTTTTTTCCTGGCTTCCTCTTCTCTTTTTCTTTATGAGTCATTTAGGGCTTATATATTTCAGGCTCTACAAAGGTGGCACACAGTTGGGCCCCAGTAAATGGTTAAGAGGAAAGATCCTTTTGTGAATGACATCCTATTTCCCAAATTCCTTTGTCTTTACTCTTATAGAGCAAACAGGTTTGTACAATGAAGAAGCTACACTACAACTGATAGTACCTAAGATCAGATGACATGAAGTAGAATTTAGCAAAGCCCAAGAGGACTGTGATATGTACATAGATTCATGATTTTGTGTCCTTTATTTTGGTGAGGGGTGATGATGCCCACCTGTAATCCCAGCTACTCAGGAGGCTGAGGCAGGGAGATGGCACATTCAAGCACAGCATGGCTAATTTAGTAAGACCCAGTCTCAAAGATAAAATAAGGCAGCTGAGAGTGTAGCTCAGTGACAGAGCATTCACCTAGCATTCATAAGGCCCTGGATTTTATCCCCAGTACCATCAAAAGCCAAAACCAAACAAACAAACAAAAAAAATCAACACTTTTTAAAAATTGAAATAAAAGAGTTTTAAGTCTAGAACAAAGACTGAATGGCCTCTTTGATCCACTTACCAACCATTGTCAACATTTTACCATGCAGCACTTGCTTTATCACACTCCTTACTAGATGAAGATGAGAGACTTAGAATTTTTCTGAGCCAGTTAGGTGCAGACACCAAGACCTCATCAGTTCTTAAGTGTGTTTTCTCAGAACAATGATTTTTCCTTACGTAACACAGTACAGTTACTTAATTCAGGAAAATATAACCTTATACAACACTGTTATCTAATATGCAATCTATATTCAGTCCTCACTGTTGTCCCAATAATGTCATTGATGACACTTTTCCATTCTGATCAGGATCTAATCTAAAATACAATGTATTTCATATTTTATCTTTTTAATCTTCTTTAACCTAGAGTAGTTTCTTAGTCTTTCTTTGAATTTTAAGACATTGATATTGTAGAAAATAAGTCAGTTGTTTTCTAGGCTGCTGCTTCTTACTTGGTTTTATGTGATTTCCTCATGGTGAGGTTCATGGTGTGGGTTTTGGCAGAAGTGCTGCATGGTGATGTCATTCTCAGTATGGCATGTCTGTCCCCAAAGGAAGAGAGGCAGAGGAGAAGACATGACTTGTGACTGAAGTTGGTAATACTTGGTTAAAGTTGTGTCATCATATTTCTTCAGTCAGGAGTTACTGTTTTCCTCCTTATAATTCATAGATCACTTGTTTCTTAATATTTATTTTAGTCACTGAAGTGTTCCTAAGGTGTGTCTCCACTGTTCTATTTAGAATCACATTTTCCCTTTTTCTTGGCAGTGTTTTAGAGCACTTTGCTGCAAGGGACCACCACCTGCGCGACCAGAGTATGATCTGGTATGCATAGGCCTCACAGGTTCTGGCAAGACAAGCCTGCTCTCAAAGCTGTGCAGTGAAAGCCCTGAGACTGTCGTGTCAACCACAGGTGAGTACAGTGTCAACTGTGTGTCCCTTCCTCCTCAGCCCTAACTTTTCTAGTTTCCTTTGTTACTTATGTAATGACTCCCTTCTATTTGTAGTTTAGGGTGTCAGTCAGTGTATTCATTAATGCAGACTAATCCCAGAGTCTGGAGCTCTGTTTCTCTGGCAAAATGTATTCATGTCAGGCCCACTGAGTGCTGTCCTCCCTTGAAGTGTCACTGTAGCCTGCTTTTGTTGCTCACATACTAAACAGCATCACAGAAATAGACTGAATTTTCTTCTTCATTTTTCACCTGAACAGTCACTACAGGAGAACATTGATCAGCTTTACCATTGTTTTTTTGACTTAAAAAAAAAAATCCATTTTTAGGTTAGTAGTTTTTAATAGGGATATTTTGTTGTGTATATCGCCACAACAACTGGGAAAGGGTGATAGTGGCTTCTAGTTGGTAGAGGCCTGTACTAGTACTAAACATACTACAGTGCACAGGTCAGCCTCACAACAAAGAATTATCTGGCCCAAAATATTCTCAGTGCCAAAGTTGACAAAGCCTGTCCTAAGTTTTTTTCACCCCCTAAATGCTTCCTCTTTCTCATCTAACTGTGACACAAGAAAGAAGAGTATAAATTAGACAATAATGGAAGAATAGTTGTAGGAGATAAAGACTACAGTTGTCATGGGAGGAGGCCTGATAAGCAGGGCAAGACATTTTGTGGGAAAGTTGAAATGACTGTCTATTTAGTCAGATTTTTGAGTACATGCTGTGTGCTAGCTCCAATCTTAGAAGTGGGGATAAGCACTGATCTCAGTGCTCCAGGGGACTCAGTCTCCTGGCCATATAGATTTTCAGTTCATGTCTAGAAGTACACAAAAGTGAAGGCAAGGGGGAAGGTCAAGCATAGTGAAGTTTTCTGCATTGGCTTTAAGGTTGCTTGGCAAGACAGAAGACCTAGAAGGACAGAAGAGTGGGGTGGAGGAGAGAGAGGATTATAGGTCAGAGGAGAGCTTGGATGAGGTGGAAAGATGTGAAAGAAAGTCCTCTTGGAAACCACATTTCTGCATGACTGCAATGTATGTTCAGTAGAGTGCCAGGAGCCTAAGAGAGGGATGATGGTTAACCTTGGCAAACTCTTTATTGTGTTTCCAGAAATGTGTGCTTTCTTTATAGATAGTGTAGAGACAGAAAGGAATTTTAAGCTGAAACTATGCCTGGGTGTTCATTTGAGGTCAATCTGGCCATGATGTGGAAACTTAATTATGAGAAGCACTGTTGGATACAGTCAGAGGATGAGTACAATGGTGCAGCCTCCAGGGATGAAAGTCTTTGTGCAGGCAGTAATGGAGAGAATGGAGAGGAAGAAGTGGGTGCGATTCATCATGTGATGGCTGGAATTGGCAGAACTTGATGACCGTTGGGTTGGAAGGCTGAAAGACAAGCCAAGGAACATGCCATTCTTGGTTTAGGTGATCGGTGGGTAATGAAGTCATTCACCAGGATTTCCAAACAAGTAGGGAAAATATTGATGATCAGGAGTATTGTATTAGTTCAGGTCAGGTTTTGCCACAACCAAGTTTGAAACATAGTGTAAGATCTGAGAACTTTTCTGAGTAAACTCTGCATAAAGCCAACTCTGTCTACCTTTTCTCTCAAACAACTGAATTCTCCCTTCTTTTTCCTCACTGGACCTGTTTGTATTTCTACCATTTAGTGTCTCTTGGGCTTTTTTTTTTTTTTTTTTTTCATGTCTATCTCCCACTCCTACGTTGTAAGCACTTGAGGACAAGTAGAACATCTTACTTAGCATTGCATACCTATAGCATGGCACACATTTGAGCATGTGTAGATGTAGGTGTGTTAAATAAATGCATACATTGATTCTACATAGTGCTTTTATATAAAACATTCCCTGTAAGCCTTACAAAAGCTTTATCGGGTAAAAGTCTTCTTTTCATATTCTGTTCTTAAATCACCTGAGGATCAAAGAGGGGCCGGGGAGATGGCTCAGTGGAATAAGCGCTTCCCTGGCAAGCACAGGGCCTGAGTTCAATCCTTGGTTCTGCCAAAAAATAAATAAATAAAATACTGATGCTGAGGATCAAAGATATAGTGATACAGCTGTTGTTATATAGCTAGTAACAAAAGCGGGATGCCAGGTCAAGTCTCCAAATGAAGTGGAGTGCTAAGACTTAGCATTTCTGATGTGAGTATGTACTCAGGTTTTTCTGTAAAATTATCTATATTTTTTGAGTGATGTGCTATGAAGCTGTAAAAACTTTATTAACTTAATAATTCTTGTCAGGCAAAGTAACTCCCAAAATATGTGTGAGACTGACAAAAAATATGCTTTTCTTCAGTTACTTTTATCAGTTATCTGGTAGAACTATTGTTAGAACAGTTTGAATTATAATATAAAAGTTATCTGTGAATAATTTTATGATGCATTTATAAATTGTAATTTAATAATTTCATTAAATTTTTGATTGATTTTTTTTCTTTTACTGAAACCAACTATGACATTGAGTGCCAGTTGATTTTTCTGGTGAAATAGATAGTGCATTTGCAGTTCAGATATCAGAGTTCTGTGAGTTGCAGTTCTCTGGAACGTGGCACAGTCTTCTTCTTGGAAGCCTCTTTGGAAGCCTTCCTGCCACCATGAGATTTACGTTGTGTTTGCAAGATAAGTTTTCTCATGATAGAATAGTTCATATTCAATGTTTATGCCAGACCCTATGATATGGCAGAATAGAACATGTGCTACACTCGATGGAATAAATATGAAAATTGAAAATGAGCGTTTCTAACCTGGGCATTAAAGAAGGCTGCTTAAGGGCCTGGAGATGGCTCAGTGGAATAAGCGCTTGCCTGGCAAGCGCAGGGGCCTGAGTTCAATCCTTGGTTCCACAAAAAAAGAAAAAAGAAAAAAAAGAACAAGGCTGCTTAGTGAATGTTACCTTTGAGTAGGTTAAAAAGAGCCAGAGTCAAAAAATGTAAGTCTGAGAAATGACCAGTGGGTGGCAACTATATGATCATTAATGACCACATTTCAGCAGATTACTGGGAATATTATCTAATCTGAGAAATGAAAGGATAGTGATTAAAAAAAGAGATTCAGGGCTAGGGGTATAGCTCAGTGGCACAGTGCCTGCCTAGCACGTGTGAGGTCCTGAATTAAATTCCTGGGATCAAAAAGAAAGGACATTGAACCATAGATTATCATTTTTACTACTTGGCTATTTGACTAAGATTGTATGTAGACTCTTCTTTCTAGAAAATAGTCCAAAGATAAAGAGGGAGGGAAGGAAAGGATGAGGGAGGGAGGGAGGAAGGATGGAAGGAAGAAGAGAGAGAGAGAATGAACGGGAGGGGGAAAAACAGAGAGAATGCTAGAGGGGTGTGTGTGTGTGTGTGTTTAGGGAACTTGTTCCCATACAGAAGAGTCTCATGAGAATCTTTGTAGACAGAGGTATAATGGTGATTGTCTGGGAAGAAGGAAAGACACGATGCCCAGGAGAGGACAGTAACTGCAAGAGTGAACAAGGACCTCTAATTCTGGTCAAAATGGACTAACAGGAACTTGTTTGGCCTCCTACCTGAAAGAACCAAAATGAATTTTGAAAAACACAAAATGTAAAACAATAGTTTTCAAAAAGTGAATGTGAAGTGTCAAAGGTCAATCATTTGTGAGAAATGAGAAACAAATGCTGGAGCTTACTGCCTTTGGTTCCCAGGCTGTGGCACAATTCCAGAATGAGTTGAGGTGGAGGTCAGGGAACTTGTGCAGTGGGAAATAGAGCTGAGAATCAAGGATACCAAAACAGCTAGAGTTCACAGGACACACCACAAGAGAAAACTGCGGTACAAAGAAAGATAGGAGTCTCCTTGAATGTCTTCACAGTGTGGACAGTACATGAATATGAAGAAATAACCCAGGACCAGTGAAGGAAACATCTGAAAAGACTGGGGAAATAGTGCTTTGTCTTCACACAGGCTAGAGAACTCACCAAATGGACTGGGAAAAAAATCATAATCCATGAAGAATCAAATCAGAGTACTTACCAAGGTCTTGATTAAGGAATCTGTCCTAAGTAGTACTCACCCGCAGTATCATTTATCAAGTTGGTAAGGCTATGATGGTTTCCAGTTAATGTTACTGTATTTATAGGAAAAAATACGTAACTCTCAACAAAGTAAAATTCACAATGATTGATATTCATTCAAAGATTGGTAGGCATGGGAAGAGGCAGAAAAGCTTAACTCATAATGAGGAAAAAAACAGCTCATAAAATCATAGTCACTTATTTGAAGATGACCCAAAAATGGTAGGGTCTTGCTGTGTAGCTCAGACTCGTAGTGATCCTCCTGTCTCAGCCTCCTCAGTGTTGGGATTACAGACTTGCGCCACCACACTGGCCTCAATGGTTGGTTCAGCGCACCCGGGAATGGGGCTGGCATGGCATGTGGTGCCAGGGATCGAAACGTAGTCCCTGAACTTGCCTAAGCAGGCAGTTAGTCCTCTGAGCTATCCTTAAAGGGGATATGTTTTTAAAAGACCCACTTAAAACTTCTACTGGTAAATTAACATCTGAGATAAAATATGTATCTGATAAGATTGATGGCACATTAGACAGCACAGAAGAAAGACCAAATGCCTATATAGGCACTGGAGAGACTATAGAAGAGGGCAGGAGGGAGAGAATGCAAGCAGCATTGGGAGGCTGTGGAACAACTTTTAAGTGATCTTAAGCTAGGGTAACCTTAGTCTATGAAGATGCAGGGGATGGGGAAAGGACAAAAAAAATTGAAGAAATGATGCCTGAAACATTGTCAAACTTCATGAAAATTATACACCTAAGGATCTAAGAAACTCACTGTGCTCCAAACTTAAGAGAGGTGAACAAAACTGTCCCTACCTAGTCATGTCATAACCATTGGAAACCAGTGATAAAATATGATAGCTTTTTTTCTTTTTAAATCCTGCCTCAGGTTTATTTGTACAAAGAGCACAGGAAGACACCAGCCCCCAACAGATGGCACCCCAGCGGTCACACCAGTCTATTTTTATATCAGCAGATAAGAGGCTTTTACTGTGGAGCCTTCTCAGAGGCCTGGGTGCCTTTGGGAGCCAGGGGTAGAGCAGAAGCTGGAGCCTGGATCTTGGCTGGAGCATGGGCCTTTGACTTGAAGCCCTTCTTGTTGTGCTTGTGGGCAAAATGTGTATTCCTAAGGAACTTGGGATCTATCCCTTTCAGAGATTCATATCTTCCTGACCAAGGTTTTTTGATGCCATTTCTGTGCCATTTTCAGGACTGGTTATGCATGATGTGGTTCTTGGACTTGGCCATAACTACACTATAAACCGTAGCTATGATGGTTGGTTTTATGTAGAATGTGGCTGAGTCCTGGGGCCCACATTTGTGGTCATACATTAGTCTGAACTTTTCTGTAATTTAGCTATTAGTAGTTTAATTTCTGACTTTTGGTGAAGCAGATTGCATAGTGTGATTTGACTTTATCTAGTTTGTTGAAGGTCTGAACAGAGTAAAACACTGCCTCCCATGAATAAGAAATAATTCCATAGCAGATGGCCTTTGGACTTGAAGTTTTCATGGGCTGTTTCATAGGTCTCTAGCCTGCCAGTCAATTTTTGCAGATTTTGGATTTGTCTCCCTGTATAACTACATAAGCCAATTCCATAAATCAGTCTGTTTGTCTCTGTGTACATATTTTTTATGTACATTTACAAATACATATGTCCTTTTTGTTTTGTTTCTTTTGGGACTGCTAATACAAAGAGAAAAATCTTTAAGACAAACAAAAGGTATTACACTGAAAAGATGGTAAGCGCCGGGTTGGGGGTTTCATCCCCAGCCTCTTGTGCTGGCCTCGCCCCTGGGGCACACTGAGAAGGTGATTGAGACTTGGTGTGGTGACGCATGCCTGTAATCCCAGCGCTTGGGAGGCTGAAAAACAGGAAGGATCACTATGAGTCCAATCTATGTAGTGAGAGCCTGAACACCCTGTACTAAATATGTAAAAAAGAGAAAAGAAAGGTAAGGATAACATCAGAGACTTCTCACTGAGAAGTGAGAAGACAGTAAAACAGGATCTGTACTAAAAGGGAAAAAGAAAGTATGTTGAGTGTTTACAGAGAGATGGAAAAATGCAGACATTTTTCCAGAAGCACAAAAGCTGAAAGAATTTATTGTTGGCAGATCAGCATTGTAAGAAGTGGTAATGGAAGTCCTATAAGCAGGAGAAAAACTGGGCCAGATGTAAATAAGGTTTCTATGAAAGGAATGAAACATACCAGGAATGGGAAGCATATGGGTGCTTGTGTAAGATTTGGGAATCGAACTCAGGGCCTTGAGCTTTCCAGGTAGGTAGGTTTTTTTTAAAGCTATTTATTTATTTATTTATTTATTTATTTTTTTTGCGGAACTGGGGATTGAACTCAGGTCCTTGCACTTGCCAAGGAAGCGCTTATTCCACTGAGCCATCTCCCCAGCCCCCAGGCAGGTAGATTTAGTTTCTGTTATTTAACAAATCATTTAAAGATGAACTGTTTAAAGAAAAAATCATGTATGAGAGAAAAAATGCATGAAGCTCATAGACGACAAAGAGAACCACACTATTAAAAGATTGGGGTTGAGTCTCGTGCGTGAGGTGAGCGGAGCCAGAGACGCGACCAGAGGCCGAACTCGGGATCTGACAAGATGGCCGGGCTGCCCCGCAGGATCATCAAGGAAACCCAGCGTTTGCTGGTAGAACCGGTTCCTGGGATTAAAGCCGAACCAGACGAGAGCAACGCCCGTTATTTTCACGTGGTCATTGCTGGCCCCCAGGATTCCCCCTTTGAAGGAGGGACTTTTAAACTTGAACTATTTCTGCCAGAAGAATACCCAATGGCAGCACCTAAAGTACGTTTCATGACCAAAATTTATCATCCTAATGTAGACAAGTTGGGAAGAATATGTTTAGATATTTTGAAAGATAAGTGGTCACCAGCACTGCAGATCCGCACAGTTCTGCTATCGATCCAGGCTTTGTTAAGTGCTCCTAATCCAGATGACCCATTAGCAAATGATGTAGCGGAGCAGTGGAAGACCAATGAAGCCCAAGCCATAGAAACAGCTAGAGCATGGACTAGGCTATATGCCATGAATAATATTTAAGTCGATCCGATCATCAAGTTTGTGTCACTTCTCCTGTTCTGCCAAGACTTCTTCCTTTTTTGTTTGCATTTAATGGACACAGTCTTAGAACATTACAGAATAAAAACCCAGACATTTTCAGTCCTTTGGTGATTAAATGCACATTAGCAAATCTATGTCTTGTCCTGATTCACTGTTGTAAAGCATGAGCAGAGGTTGAAGTTTCATCTGGATTGTTGTGAAGCATTTAAAGGCAGTGGCCCTCTGCTTTTATTCATTTCCCCCATCATGGTTTAAGTATAAAGCACTGTGAATGAAGGTAGTTGTCAGGGTTAGCTGCAGGGGTATGGGTGTTCTTTATTTTATTTTATTCTATATTTTGAGGGGTAAGGTAGTTTCAAAATTGTGTGCCCCCGCCCTCCTTTTTATGGTGATCTAATTGCATTGGTTATAAAGCAGCTAACCAGTTCTTTAAGATTCGCTCTCTAGCCAAGTCTAACTTTATTTAGATGCTATAGATGGACAAGCTAATTGTTTGAACCAAAATGGGAACATTAACAAACATCACAGCCCTCACTAATAACATTGTGATTTTGCAGTCGTGTAGATTTCCCCTTCAAAAAAAAGCTTGTGACCACCATTTTGTATAGCTTGTCTGGAAACTTCTGTAAATCTTATGTTTTAGTAAAATATTTTTTGTTATTCTAAAAAAAAAAAAAAAAAAAAAAAAGATTGGGGTTGAGTAGTATTGGGGATTAACCCAAGATCACATCAGCTGCTAGAAAATGTAGCAGAAAACTTAGTGTACTACAACTTGGCTGTCTGCCAGTTTGACCTGAATAATATTTATATTATACTTCCCCAGCAGCAAAAGGCATTCCTTTCAAGTGCACATGGAATATTTAATGAATTAAATGATCATCTAATACATAAAACAAGTCTCAATAGACTCAGATAGACTCAAGTCCTACTAAATATGTTTTCAGATTGTAAATAGAACTGAATTAGCAATCAACAAGAACTTTGGGGGAAATCTCTATCTGGAAACTAACTTCTGAATTAACATGGACCAAAAAAGAATCAAAAGTGAAATTATAGCACATTTGATACCAGATGACACAAAGCATATCAGAATTTATAGTACCCCTTAAAGTAAGATTTTTGAGGGGGTGATGTAAAGCGTTGATCACTTGAGATTAGAAAAGAAGGGCCTCAAATTAATGACCCCTGCTTCTACTAAAAGGGAAGAATGTGTTAAACTCAAAGTGAAAAGAACAAAAGAAATGATACTGACCAAAGTGAAATCAGTGAAGTGTAAAACAAACAAAAAACTTGTTTTTTGTGGTCAACAAAATTAATAAAGATCTAGATACACTGGTCAGAAAAAAATCAAAGAAGATACAGACTGCTAATTTGAAGAATAAGATGATTTCAGTGCGGATTTTTATAAATCTTAAGAGAAATTCCACAAGGAATACTGTGGCCAACTTTATGCCAGTAAATTTGACATCTTAGATATAATGTGCACTGTCTTTGGAAGAAAAACTTTGAAGAAGAAATAGAAAACCCCAACAAACCTTTATCTGTTGAAATGAGGTGTATTGGTGCATGTCTATAATCCCAGCGTCTTGGGACACAGAGGCAAGAAGATAGCAAGTTTGAGCTCAGTGTTTAGCAACTTAGTAAGGTAAAGTCTTACTGTCTAAAAATGAAAAAGATTATGATGTTTTTCAGTGTAAAGTCTCTGGGCTCTATTTCAGTGCCACAAAAATAATAAATAAAATAATGTCACTAAAGAAGAAATTGAAGGTATAGTTAAGGAAAGAGAACTTGGAAGTTAGGTTAGTTTCACTGGTGAATCCCAACAAGCATCTTAAGGGAAAAACAATTCATATTATCCATGTCTTTCAGAAAATGGAAATGGGAGGAAAAATTTCCCAACTCATTAAACTGATACCAGAACCAGTCATTGACATTATAAGAAAACTGCATAGCAGTGTCCCTCATGAACAAAAATACAAAACTTACAAAGCTCTAGAAAATCAAATATAAGAAAATATTAAGTCAGATAGCTTGTCATAACCAAGTGACATCTATCTTAGGAATACTGAATTGGTGTCACATTAAAAAAATCAGTTTTGAAGGGCTGGCAAGATAGCTCAGTGCTCTAAGTGCCTGCTTTAGCAAGCTCAGGGACCAGGGTTCCATCCCTGGTCCTGCATGCTGTGCTGGCCCCGCCCCCAGGCATGCAGAAATTCAGAAGATTATCAATAGCTACTTTGAGAATCTTTACTCTCACACAATAGAAGACACAGAAGAAATGGACAGATTCCTAGAAAGGTACAAATTACCAAAACTGAATCAAGAAGATATAGCAACTCTCAGTAACCCACTAACAACAGCTAATGAAATACAAAATGTAATAAAAAACCTACCGAGAAAGAAAAGTCCAGGTCCTGATGGATTCACAGCTGAATTCTACAAGAAATTTATGGAACATATAATCCCTATACTTCTCAAACTCTTCAGTAAAATTTAAAAGGAAGCAGTCCTTCCAAAATCATTCCTGGAGGCAAGTATTATACCAAAACCAGGGAAAGACACAAGTAAAAAAGAGAAATACAGACCAGTCTTCCTCCTGAACATAGATGCAAAAATCCTCAATAAAATCCTAGCAAATAGAATACAGCAAAACCTCAAGAAGGTTATATACCATGATCAGGTAGGATTCATCACAGGGATGCAAGGATGTTTCAATATATTCAAATCTATAAATGTAATACACTATATCAATAGAGCCAAATCTAAAAGCCACAAGATCATCTCAATTGATGCAGAAAAGGCTTTTGACAAAGTCCAACACTCATTCATGTTCAAAGTCTTAACAGAACATTGGAATAGATGGCCTCTACTTCAATCTGATAAAAGCCATCTATGACAACCCAATGGCTAACATAATTCTAAAGGGGGAAAAAACTGAAATCTTTTACTCTCAGATCTGGTACAAGACAAGGATGTCTTCTTTTACCACTCCTATTCAATATAGTTCTGGAATCATTAGCTAGAGCCATTAGACAAGAGAGAGAAATAAAAGGAGTAAGAATAGGTAGAGAAGTTAAATTATCATTATTTTCAGATGACATGATACTTTATTTGGAAGACCCAAAAAACTCTACCAAGAAGCTACTAGAATCGATAGACAAATTCAGTAGCATAGCAGGATACAAAGTCAATACCCAATACCATTTTACAGTAGCACCGAGGAAAATGAAATACCTTGGAATTAATCTAACTAAAGAAGTCAAAGATCTTTTCAAGGAAAATTACAGTACTCTGAAAAAAAGAGATTGTAGAGGACTTCAGAAAGTGCAGAGTTATTCCCTGCTCCTGGATAGGAAGAATCAACATTGTGAAGATGGCCATACTCCCAAAATTGCTGTACAGACTTAACACAATCCCTATCAAACTACCACCAGCTATCCCAGAGCTAGAGAAATTGTTCCTAAAATTTATTTGGAAACAGAAAAGATCTAGAATAGCAAAGGCAATCCTGGGCAATAAAGACAAGGTAGGAGGCGTCACAATTCCTGACTTGAAATTATACTACAAAGCTACTGTAATAAAATCAGCATGGTACTGGCAACAAAATAGACCTGAAGATAAATGCAATAGATTAGAATGTGGAGAAGCCCCCATGAACACACTCAGCCACCTTATCTTCGACAAAGGGGCTAAACATGCTCACTGGAAGAAAGATGGCTTTTTAACAAGTGGTGCTGGAAAAACTGGACTTGCTACATGCTGTAAACTGAAACTTGACCCAGGTTTATCACCATGCACTAAACTAAAGTCAAAATGAATTAAAGATCTAAACATTAAAACAGAAACAGTAAATCTCCTGGAAGAGAAAGTAGGAGGATCTCTTGAAGACATAGGGGTATGCAAAGAGTTCATGAAAAAAAATCAAATTGCACGGGTAATCCTGGAAAGAATTAACAACTGGGACCTCCTCTTATTGAGAAGTTTTTGCATGTGAAAAGAAATTACCAACAAACTGAAAAGACAACCCACAAATTTGGAAAAAATCTTACTGATAAGCACTCAAAGGTCTGCTCTCTAGAATTTATAAAGAACTACAAAATATTAGGGCCCCAAAATTTAAAGACCTAGTCCAGAAATGGGCATTTGAGATGAACACACACTTCTCAGAGGCCAAAATTAAAGAAGTGAATAAATATATGAAAAAATGCTCCACATCACTAGCCATTCGCGAAATGCAAATTAAAACAAACTGAGATACCATCTCACCCCACAAAGAATGGCTATCATAAAGAAATGAACCAACAACAAATGTTGGAGAGGCTGTTGGGGAAAAGGAACACTTCTCCACTGCTCTTGGGAATGTAGACTGGTACAACCATTATGGAAATCAGTGTGGAGAGTCCTTAAAATACTAGGACTGGAAATCCCATGCAAGCCAGCTGTCCCCCTACTGGGAATTTTCCAGGAGGAACTGAAAACATCATACCATAGTGATATATGTGTACCTATGTTTATAGCAGCACAATTTGTGATAGCCAAATCTTGGAAACAACCAAGATGCCCATCACCTGAGGAATGGATAAAACACATTTTAGTTTCATAAAATGGAGTATTACTCAGTTATAAAAAATGATAAGGGGCCGGGGAGATGGC